CACACTGTACTGTACGGTACTGTACTGTATATATATATACACAAAGTATGTATATATATATATATATATATATACACACAAAGTATATATATATAATCCTTTGAATAAACAAAATTATTGTTTGACAAGCTACTTGTTTTATTATCCGACACTGTTTAAACACATTGCAATATGGGGCTCTGTTTAATTATGTCACTCAACATAAGCAGCCACAAACAGTTTATTTATTTTAACGTAACAGATTGTACAGTGGACTTCCAACATTTCATTAAAATGCTCTAAAATCCTTTCATTTTCTTCTTCTCTGTTTCTCTTTTAGCCAATTGTTTATGAAGGCCAAGACAAGAACCCAGAGATGTGCCGAGTGCTGCTGACACATGAGATCATGTGCAGGTGAGACGAGACTCCTCACATCTTATGTTCAGAGTTGTCCTCCTCATTCTTACCCCCACAACACACCGTCAGCCTCTGTTCACACAAACACTGCTACACCGTTCTTATACATGCAAATTGACTTTTTTTTTTGTGAGATAAACTGAGATTTGTTTTTACAATCCTTTTTAAATAGAGCTTTTGAAGAAGAAGTTTTTAGTGTACAGACTTGACAAGGAAATGGGAGAAATGATGTGCCAAGTTTAAACTGTGTTTCTTTGTATAAGTGTGTTTAAAGTAGAAACCACAACAAGAACGGAGCTGTTTTTTTGTCCATTTTTTCTTATATGGAAAAATATGTCCTGATCTATCTCTGTTAAACTCTGCTCATGTCCTAAAATCTACAAGTTAAAAAAAGAAAATAGAAATGGTGCCAAAAGAAAACAGTTGAAAAGACATACTCAGGATCCTGAGCAACATCTGCCACCTTTGTCTTTTAACCTGTTTCACTGGTTTCACATGAGTTTTTCAGTTTTTTTTTTTTTAATTCCTTTCTCTGCCTGGTTGAACATACATATAAGTATTTTAGTTAAGGTTTTAACATACAGTACTTATTTCTTGTGTTTTTGGTGCCACCAATTGAAAATGATTTTTACAGCAAATTCATTGTAAGCACAAAAGGCCTCACAGTCACAAAAACCTCTGCAGAACTCTAGCCTACAGGGAAAGATGACTCGAATGACATCACATAAGTTTTTGCAGTTGAGCATACACAGAACCATGAATTAGGCCTTAATTTGCAGAAACCAATCTTTCTTATCCTGTCACCCTCATTAAACCCCGCCCCCCCTCCCGCACTCCCACACGCACACTCTCGGTCACATACAAATGAAGCCAGATATGTTGAGGAACATTAGTTTGGGCTCTCGTGGTTGTTGCTTTAATTATAACCTAAAGATGAATTTCTTCTAAAGTAGGTTGGGAGAGAAGAAACCTATTTATAGAATCATTTTACCATCCTATCCTATACAAAAGACAATGTGTGTGTGGAAACAGGAGCAGTTTGTGTGTGTGTATGTGTCTGTATGACGCCTGGTTAATTAGGACACAGAGAAACTCATTAGTCAATCTGAACCCTTCTGTTGTTCTGTGGCTAACAAATGGGCCTCCTTCCACATTCTGACTATAAAATATAAGCCGAGACTAACACCCACACCCACACATATATAAAAACACAAAGAAGTATGCATGTGCACGCACAGGCCTGAGCAGCGCAGTTATAAAAATTCAAATTTAGCACATGAATTAAGTTGTTCTCGTTCCTTGACCTTGTCACTGAACAATTTTTAACTATAACAATATAAATTGGGGTTCATCTATATGCGCAAGCAGGGATTTGAGCGGTGAAATCATAATATTTTATTCTATAGCTCTGAATATTCCTCAGGCTGCTTAGCTACGGAGCCTAATGAAATATTGATGGAAAATTCTGCCGTAATTTACAAGGAATTTAGAAATAAACTGCATTTGGCGTCATATTTTACTTTAACCTATTGTTGTACATCACGCGGAGAATAAATTCTGGATCGCTGTGACAGTCCTACTGGATTCTTCCATTGTTTCCTCTGAGGGAGCTGCAGTGCAGCAAGGAGGACCTCTTCTATCAACGGTAACACGTCTTTCTTCAACAGCAGCTGAGGTTAAAGTCGTGTCAAGCTCTTACATGCTGATCCTGCAACAACACTGAATGCGCGCTCGCACAAAAAAGCTCAAGGCGTCCATTAATCAGCGCTTCTTGTTGTCATGGCGGTGCAATTAGCCACATGTTCCCGGCCAATCTGCCACCTCCCAGAACTGGTTAAAACTCTGGCACAAATAAGTGAAATATTTATTTTCTTTAAAGTGTAATTGTTCCTATTTCAACAATATAACTCTCGCTGCTCTTGACGTCTAAGCTTTAGATACTAACTGAGATGCTAAAGCATACAGGAAGTGTTGGAAGGATCCCAGTGACAGAAGAAATAGAGTAAGAAAATGTTAAAAACATAGGATTTTATTTGGTACAGCTCTGATTATCAATGCGCTACTCAGTAATAATAGTTTTTCAATTACATGTTGTGCAGCCCTCAAATTATTGTTGTTTTTGAGGAAAGGCTTGCTTATTTCAGCAAAAGCACATCCTTCACACGCCACACAGCTGAACCTCATTAGAACATCTAATAGCTTCAATGTTCAACAGCAAAATCATTAGGAATTCATAAAAGATCAACAGTATATCAGTCGATTGTTTCTTTACACCTGTCTGTCTCAGTGATTGATGATGTGGATGTTTGTGATGTTACATCACAGAGTGGTGTAGATGAGGGAACGGACATAGTTATTTTTACACTCATGATTTCTTGTGTTTGTACTATGCTGCAGCCACTGAAGGGATAAGGTTATGTATTAGAAATAAAGTGCTGGATAGGATGAGAGAATGAAAAAGTCCTATGGACTACATGTTTTAATACTTGTGAACTGCAGTTCCCATCAGCCATCAGGATGCTGTCTTAAGGAAGACAACAGATCAGAGATTTGTTGCCATCTCAAGTTAATATTAACAAGTCTTGAGTCAGAACTGGGCTGCATTGCAACAAACTGCTCTGACACATTACATTAGACAAGAAAGAGAAAACAATTCACCTTTAAAATCACAATAATACAAATGTTAGTTCATTCATTCATTCATTCATTCAACCTTAATTTATACAACTTAGTCTCCTTGAGTCACAAGGAATCATTTACAAGCGAGACCTGTAAAGGCCACTCAGACTATGTATGTATATAGCAGCACAGTGACTCAGTTGGTAGAGATGTTGCTTCTCAGGAAGAAAGTCGCCAGATCGAATCCCTGCCAGGAATCTTTCTGGGTGGAGTTTGCATGTTCTCTCCATCATGCATGCGTGGGTTTTCTCCCACTGACCTAAAACATGCATGTTAGGCTGATTGGTAACTCTAAATTGTCCCTAGGTGCGAGTGAGAGTGAATGGTTGTCTGCATGTGTCCCTGTGATGGACTGAAGACCTGTCCAGGGTGTCCCCATATCCCCCACCTCTCAGTGACTGCTGGATATGGTCACCTGTGACCACCATGACCCTTAAAGGAAGAAACGGGAAAAGATAGTGGATGG